AAGTTAACATCCAAAGCCTTTCAGTGTATCTTTCTTGGTTATTCTCGTCTTCAAAAGGGTTATCGTTGTTATTCTCCCGACCTTAAGCGTTACTTAGTTTCCGCTGATGTCACTTTTCTTGATCAACAACCCTTTAATTCTATCCCATCTCAGATGTCACAGGTTGATCATGTACTTCCTGTCCCTTTTCTTGACTTGTCTTTGCCAGCTGCAGGTGCTTCTATTCCAGATGAGCAACCTATTGCTTCTATACCTGAGGACCGTCCACTTCTCACCTATCAGCGTCGCAAAACTGTGCCTCCTGTCGACTCGACTCTTGCTGACTCATCGCCCAATGCTGTTGCTTCTTCCCCTCCGGATCCTTCATCAGAGACTCTTCCCATTGCTCAAAGAAAATGTACACGTACTACTCGTAACCCTTATCCTCTTTATACCTTTTTGAGTTATGACCGTCTTTCTTCACCTCATTTCACCTTTGTTTCTAGTCTTTCTTCTATTTCTATTCCTAAGACCACATGTGAAGCACTTTCCCATCCAGGGTGGCGCCAAGCAATGCTTGATGAGATGACTGCACTTCATTCCAATGGCACTTGGGACCTTATTTCTGCTCCTCCAGAGAAGTCTATAGTTGGTTGTCGCTGGTTTTTTACTGTGAAAGTTGGACCTGATGGCCATATTGATCATCTCAAGGCACGTTTAGTTGCCAAGGGTTTTACTCAAATCTTTGGCCTTGATTATAGCGATACATTTTCTCCGGTCGCTAAGATGGCGTCAGTCCGCCTCTTTCTTGCCCTTGCTGCTGTTCGTCACTGGCCACTCCTTCAACTTGACATCAAAAATGCCTTTCTTTATGGTGATTTACAAGAAGAAGTTTACATGGAGCAACCACCTGGTTTTGTTGCTCAGGGGGAGTCTGGAAAGGTGTCATCTTCGGAAATCCTTAAATGGTCTCAAGCAGTCTCCTCGAGCATGGTTCAGTCGCTTCAGTTTTGCTGTTCAGGCGTTTGGCTTAATCCGCAGTAAAGTTGACCATTCTGTGTTTTATAGGATTACATCTCCTGATAAGTGTATCTATTTGTTAGTCTATGTTGACGACATCATTCTCACCGGAAGTGATCAAGACGGAATTCGTCAGTTAAAACAGCATTTGTTTAGTGCATTTCAAACAAAGGACCTTGGGAAGCTGCGTTACTTCTTGGGAATTGAGGTGGCGCAATCTAGACAGGGCATTTCTATTTGTCAAAGGAAGTATGCCCTGGATATCCTAGAAGAAACTGGTATGTTGGGGAGTAAACCAGTTGATACACCTATGGATCCTAATGTCAAGTTATTGCCCGGACAGGGGGAGCCGTTATCTGATCCTGGACGTTATCGGAGGCTAATTGGGAAGCTCAACTATCTTACTGTGACTAGGCCAGATATTTATTTCGCTGTTAGTACGGCTAGTCAGTTTCTTGATTCCCCTTGTGATTCACATTGGGATGCTGCTGTGAGGATCCTCCGATACATCAAAGGAGCACCAGGAAAAAGTTTGTTGTATTCAGATCAGGGAAATACAGAAATTTTTGGTTATTCAGATGCTGATTGGGCAGGATCACCCTCGGACAGGCGCTCTACTTCTGGCTATTGTGTCTTCTTTAGAGGAAACTTAATTTCGTGGAAGAGCAAGAAACAACCTGTTGTTGCTCGATCTAGTGCAAAAGCTGAGTATCGTGCAATGGCAAATGCTACCTGTGAGTTAGTCTGGTTAAAGCAGTTGATTCAGGAGCTTCATCTTTGTGAACAGAAACAACCCATGACACTCATCTGTGATAATCAAGCTGCGCTACATATATCCTCTAATCTTGTCTTTCATGAGAGGACCAAACATATAGAGATTGATTGTCACTTCATTCAAGAAAAGATTCAGTCAGGAGAAATCAAGACTGCTTTCGTCAACTCCTCTGATCAACTAGCGGATGTTTTCACTAAAGCTCTTAGAGGTCCTCGGGTTGAATACATTTGTAACAAGCTTGGTGCTCATAATATATAAGCACCAGCTTGAGGGGGAGTGTTAGAATATTAGATATGATATGATTAGATATGATTGGATTCCGTCTTATCCGTAAATATTCTGACTGTATTAGGATTAGGTTTGGGCCTTTCACTTAAGCCCATTAGGGTCTCTATATATTGTAACTCTCTGACACAAATCAATACAAAACATATTATTCTTCTATTATTTTATATTCAAGTGGTGTTAATAGTGCAGAAGTCCCACATTGAGTGTGTCTCTTGTATTCTTCAATTGGTTTGCTATATAATAGCACCAATGTTGTGTAGTTTAATACAACAAGGATTACTATTATTTCCTCTTGTATCTATAATATTCAACAGAGACATATGTCTCAATTGAATTCACAAGTCATCAACAAGCCTGTGGAGGTGTGGTGACCTAATCTAAGCGCCATAATGTGTAGGTGAATGGTCTACATGCAACTACAGTGCAATGTGAGTTTACAGTGGGTACAATACAAGAATTAGGAATATTAGATGCAGCTAGGACAGACAAACAGATTGGAGAGTGAGCACCTATGGTTGACTGCATCACAGACTTAGGAGACACCATGAGGTTTGGGAAACGATTCCAACAATCACAAGTATTTCTTCCAAGAGTACTTCCTAAGTTGCTGGGGATTTAACAAAACAGTCAGTACAGTTGAACTCATAATAATAGACAAAATTGTCACAAGCTAACCCACTAACACTTAACTAGGTTTTTAGTGATGGGGAGAACAAGCGGAAGATTGGTGAGTGAGAAGGACAGGTGAGAGTGTGGGTGAGGAAAGTGACGAGGAACCTATGGAAATAACAGGTAAACCTTAGCCATTACCCATAAGGATCTGATCATTGCCTCCAGATCAATGTGCTGAAGCAAATGCTGCGGATTGGCTGTGGCATGATTAGTGACTCCAGATTCAGCATTGTAGTTCTGATCAATGGAAGGCTCATGAGTTGTGTGAGGTAAGCCATAGGTGAATGTTGTGTTGCTGGAGCTGAGTAGGCTAGCTGTGTTGACTGACCAAAGGCAGTAGGTCCTGAGTGGCACTGAAGTGGCACGGGCGCACCTGAGGCAGATGCTGCCAAAGTGAGGCAGGGTATGGAGATGCAGTTGCGGTAGAGGTGAGTAGGCTGAATATGGCAGTGGAGGTTGATAGTGAGGAATAGGGACTGAAGTCTGAAAAGAGGTAAAAGCCAGATCGATCCGGTGGTAGCAAATCATGACATCATGTCCATATTTGTGACAAAGCTGACACTCAATGAAATTCCTGTAGCCGCCACATCTGTCTCAGCCAGAATGGTCTCCATTGTCAACATGGCACCATGACGAGATCGAAACCCATATGAAAGGAAAGGATTACCACATTGAAATTGTTGTGGATATAAGACATAGAAAATGAACCTCCAGAACCAGAACTAGGGGGAAAGGGTGCTTAGGCTTGCACCGATGGTGATTGAGATGCAGAAGTGCTGTGTGCCTAAGGATAACATTAGACTGCTTGCGTGTCAAATTAACATAGAGTGCGTCTAAGATAGGAATATGCTTTTGACTCTTGACTTTAGCTTCATGAGCTAGGAGCAGTGATTTGATCTCAGTCATTGTGTACGAATCAAGCCTACTGTTGATGATGGTGACTAATGCATTGTACTCGTCAGGGAGTCCCTCCAAAATGTCATCCAAATGTTTTTGAGGAAATAGCAGATAGTCAATTGAGATCAGGGAGACAATAATGGCTTTGATGTGTAGAAGGTACACCGAGATGGATTGAGAGCCTTTCTTGGTATTGCGCAACTTGGGTCAAAACTACTGCTCATTCGCTGGGTCTGAGAGTTGAAGAAGATGTGAATCTCATCCCACAACTGCCAGGAATGCACACAACCAACAACCTGGGGAAAGATTGAGTCTTAGAGAGAGTCACAAGAAGCCACGAAAAGAGCAACTGTTCTTGCTGCTCCCACCAAAGGTACTCATCATTGACACAGTCACGATCTCAATCTTCATCGGTGAAAAAATGCTGAGGAATCTATGGATTGACCAATATCTGTGGAGTCTATAACCTTTAATCATAGCCTCCATGTGCTGCTTCCATTCAAGAAAATTTTCTAATTCAGTTGAACAAAAACCACGTGTTAATCAAGGTGTGACAGCACCAAATTTGTAACAGCACCAATTTGGAAGGGATTTGGTGAGGAAGTCATAACTGGACTGAATCAAGCTCTTGATAACGTAGACAAGAAAATGTAGGAAACAATACGAAAATGAATGAAAACTAGCAGAGAGAAATTTAGAGCTTGGCTCTGAAAACTGAGATTTATATTTCTGATATATAAACTGCTTCACAGTTTCAAGTATTTTAATGGCTCCTACATTCGGTTGAACAGATGGAGAAAACTGTTTCTACTGAATTCAGCAGCAGTTACTAACTGACAGTATGTCAGAGTTAGTCATGTCAAAGTTCTTATATTTGTTACAATCTACTAACTAGCTACTCATACATTCTCTAACACAAACATGCATTGTTTGTTACCCTTTACTGCCCCAAGAATTCATAAAGATGGGATAGATTTTCATCATGTTATTTTTCCCTTGAAACAAAAAGCTTTATTGGCAACTTGGCAGTGGTAGTGATTGATTCTGAGTTGTTTTTTTAGTTTTTAATTTTTTTATATGTTAGGGTGGGAAGGATATTTGTAAGCCGATACTAAGTCTTGCTTTTTTGGGCATACAAGATAGTTGTTTAGTATCCAAACATTTTCAATGGGGAAAAAAAAACTGATTCCAAACTTTCGTTTTTTTGTTACCCTTCTTGCCCCAAGATTTCAAAAAGATGAGATAGATTCTCATCATTTTTTTTTTTCTTAATGATCATTATCTATGACAAACTTGTAAGTGGTTGATTCTGACTTTTTTGTTTTTTGTTTTTTGTTTTTTGTTTTTTGTTATATGTTGGGGTGGGAAGGATCTTTGTCAAGCTGATTCTAAATCTTTCTCTATGCAATGGTCCCTGCTTTTACCGACTAGTGATGTGCTACAACCAAGGTATGGTCAGAGCATTCTTCCTGCGTTTATGAATTCAAACTTTGACTGTAATTTTTCTTTCCATTTGCTTTGTTTTGTTGTCTTCTAATTATAATTGTTTATTTTGCATATTTGTAGGATGCGTGATGCAACTTTAATGACATGCTTGCTATTTGATCCTTGCATGAAGGTAATGACTCTGTTGTTGATATTTATGTATAGCTGCCTCACTTTTTGTTGTGCATTTCACCTTATGTGTCAGTGTTTGCCCAACATAATTTTCTACTTTTAAATTCAAGGGTCACAATTTTATTTTATTTTTGATATTTTACAGGTTTGAGACATGTTCTATGTTGTTATTGGGGCTTGTTATAGTTATCTAATAGGAATTATTAGAGTATACAACTGTATAATACCATTGTGTACTGTGCATCTCTAACTTGTGTATCTGTGCAGAGTCAGCTCTGAGGCTGTTATAACAGTTGTCAGGTTTGATTGTCTGTTAGTTAAGTAACTGTTAGAGACAGTTACATGTATATAAAAGGATGTACTCATGCTGTAAACAATTAAGAGAGTTATTCATTCTGTTGGTGATCAGTTCCTGATTTCTTTTCTACCCTGTTTTTTAGCAATAGACAAGTTCCTTATTTTGAGCTTGGATTTCAGAAACAGTGGCAGAATTTGTTCCTGATTTCTTAACAAAATCTGTTCCTGATTTCGTAGAGCAATGGCAGACAATTTTTTTATGTACAACTAGGTGTAGCTACTTGTCCTATTTTTTAGGCCTAGATTGGGGTACAGTTTTTACCCTAATTCTATACATACCGCCATCTTGTCATCAACAATATAAGGAAAATACAATATTTTCTTGATGGCATCGGACCATCGATCATAGTCGCTTCATCCATGGCAAATGATCAAAGGCCATGTCCTCCCTATCACTGGCCATAAACAGATGACCAAAACTTCATCCAATGGGGCAGATTCGTTTGGATATTTCTCCAAAAAAGGGAAAGGAAGAGTACATCACTGGTGATGCCAAACAAACGAAGCCTTGAGAATTGCCTCTCTTTTTTTTTTTTCTATTTTTTTTTTGTACATAGAGAATTGCCTTTTGATGTCATGGATGCTGAACACAATGACCAACGAGATCGAAGAGAACATCATGCATTACAACACTGCCAAAGAGATCCGCGGTGCACCAAAGGGGACTTATTCAAATGTGGATAACACCTCTACCATCTTTGGAATCAAGAGCCTGCTTCATGACCTACAGCAAGCTGACTCCACTGTCATTGAATATTTCAACACCCGTACTCAATATTGGCAGCAACTTGAAATTTACAAAGAGAACAAATGGAAGTGCCTTGAAAACAAGAAGCAATACAAAAACTTTGTGGAAATAGACATGATCTACAAGTTCTTAGTTGGAATATAAGAACCTTGATGAAGTCCGTGGGAGGATATTGGAACCAAACTACCGCCTAAGGTTCAAGTTGTATTTTTCAAGGTAAGAAGGGAAAAAGGAGGAGTATAATCATGTCAGGAAGCTCAGAAAGCTTAGCCGAAGAAGCCAAACAGAATCAGTCCAATTAGCCTCACTTCCAACAGAAGAAAAATATACCTTGGAGTGAGCACTGCTTGAAGATTGGCTATAGGTTACGTGCTAGTTCATTGATGGGAAACCAGAAAATACAAAATTGTCTCGTGGAAGGGGGCATTGTGGCAATACAACCTCGAGATATACTTGAAACAGACAAGATAAGTGCTAATCCTAAAGCAGAACCCTTTAGAAAGGGGCAGATGGAACTACTGCATAAACTACTTCAACAAATGATGCAAAATGCTTGACCAAGTATTGGTACGTCTATAGCACAAAAATGTAATCCTTTATGTTGAAATTATAGGGATTTAGGGATAGAGGGACAAAGGATAAAGAGAATAAAGATTGAATATTATGTGTTATGGTGTGATATAAAAGAGAAATTAATAAACCCTATCTGTACTGAATAGGGAATTCCTAAAATAAAAAACAAATAATAAAATATAAGGAAATAAGGAAACTATTCCTAAGAGATCATCTAGGATACTCTAAACAATTTTAAAATATAATTAGGATATTATACTATATTTTCTACATGGTTTGGATGCTGATAAGGAAAGAATAACATCTTGGATCATAGATTTAGAATACCATCACAATGGTTCTGGTTATTAATATTTGTACCTTTGTCATTATTTCCATTTTCTATAACCCGAGGTTTTAGCTCCTAACCTTGTACCCAAATTGGTTGATCCAAATCATACTCGGGTCAGAATCATTTGACCAATCACTTTAAGAGAATCCACTAAGTTGCATTGTGATATCTCTATATACCTTTTTGATACCATGTAAAGAATCTTGGGATACACCACCCCAAAAGCTAGCTCAAAGAGTGGGAGTGCCCAAGGCCTTATAAACTCCACATTAGTTGCTCATACAACCAATGTGGGACTATATATCTCAACACGCCCCCTCTCACGAGAGCCTTTTGGGCTAGAAACATGGATATTGCACAGGCCCAATTTTTGGTTTATCTTTTGTGCTTTTTTTTATTCTTAATTCCACTTTAAAGTGGGGGGCCGTGAGAATCGAACTTGTGACCTTTTAGTCATTCAAGCTCTGATACCATATTGAAAAAGGTTTTTGTTGAGATATATAAAACCATTAATGTAGCTTCACCCACCAGCTTAAGCTTTTGGGTTGAATTGGTTCTTTACATGGTATCAGAGCCTCGTGTCCCGGGTTCGATCATCACCGCCCCCCACTTTCTTTCAAGTGGAATTTCTTTCTTCGCACAGGTAGGTGAGCCTGTGCATTGTCCACCCTTCAAGCTCAGTGGGCTTTCGTGTGAGGGGGCGTGTTGAGATATATAAAACCATTAATATAGCTTCACCCACCAGCTTAAGCTTTTGGGTTGAATTGGTTCTTTACATTGGGATTTTTTTGTTTTTTGTTTTTATTTTTTTTTCACCCGTATCCCAAGCTTTTGAGCCTCACCGTCCCCCGCTTTAAAAAAGTGGAATTAAAAATAAAAATAAAAAGCACAAAAGGTAAACCAAAAATGGGCCTGTGCAATTTCCACGCTTCTAGCCTAAAGGGCTCTTGCGTAAGGGGGCGTGTTGAGATATATAGTCCCACATTGATTGGATGGGCAACTAATATGACCTTTATAAGGCCTTGGGCACTCCCACCCCTTGAGCTAGCTTTTGGGGTGGTGACCTCAAGGTTCTTAACATGGTATCTAGAGCCTAACAAGAGGAATCTTAATCCGTTTAACTTAGTTCTATTTTTCCATAATTTCAATATGGTTATAGAGAGATATCACCCTCCTTGAGGGTTTCCCGTTGCTATTTTTTTTCGGGTTTTTCTTAGTATGCTCTGTGACTGCAGCTTAGACTGATCTGTCACATCAGAAAAGAATGATCCTTGGGAAGTTGTTGGGTTGACCACCGTTGTCGTTGACCGACCACCGTTGACCGCGTCGTCCACCGTTGACAGCCGTCTCCGGCGACTTTTCCGATGACTTTCCGGCGACTTTTTCGGCGATCCACCACCGTCTCCGACGACTTTTCTGACGACCCACCGCCTTCTCCGGCGACTTTTCCGATTCCGCGAAGCTTTGTTTTTCTTTAATCTTCTTTCTTCCCAAGATGGCCATCTTGAGGGGGAGCACTGTCCACACCGTCCATGTTGCCGATGGTCATTTCAGCACAATTGTCTTTGCCGATGATAATTCCGGCACTGTTTAGAAGTTCCTCTTAAGGGGGAGCAGTGTCCATGTTGCTGATGGTCATTCCAGCACAATTGTCTTTGCCGATGATAATTCCGGTACTGTTTAGAAGTTCCTCTTAAGGGGGAGCACTGTCCATGTTGCTGATGGTCATTCCAGCACAATTGTCTTTGCCGATGATAATTCCGGCACTGTTTAGAAGTTCCTCTTAAGGGGGAGCACTGTCCATGTTGCTGATGCCGGCATCTTCCATGTTGATGTTCATTTCGACGCCATTTTTAGCACATTGTTGATTTTTGGTTTCTCATTTAGGAGATTTATTTTGATGTTATGTTACTTGGTCTTTCTTGTAATAAGCTTGTAGCATAGTCAAGGGGAAACCACGGCTGCTCACCAACTGTTAAATGAAATGTCTGAGAGGGATCTTGATGCTGATGTCCTGGTCAGCTCAGTTGTCTTTGCTGATGATAATTTCGGCACCATCTATGCTCTGATGTCCATTCCAGCACTGTCTCTTTATCAGCTCTTCAGACTGATGGTCTTTCCAGTTGATTTGTTGTACTTAGTCATTTCATTTCGTTGATGTAACATTGTTGTTTTTGGTTCCTAATGGGAGTATTATTTATGTATCAAGCTTGTAGCATATGATCTATATGCTACAGCTTGAGGGGGAGTGTTAATAGTGTAGAAGTCCCACATTGAGTGTGTCTCTTTGTATTCTTCAATTGGTTTGCTATATAATAGCACCAATGTTGTGTAGTTTAATACAACAAGGATTACTATCATTTCCTCTTGTATCTATGATATTCAACAGTATGGTATTGGAATTTTCTTCTTCACTCAACATGTGACGAGTCTTCATGTTGTTACAGCCATTCCAATCTATTAGGTACTATTATGCTAGACCACGTGGCAATTATGAGTAAGGGTTGCAAGAGGGACTAGGGTTGTAGCAATCTTGCCTATGTAGCATGCAAGAAGGGCGCAAAGGAAGGGGAAACAGTTAGACGCAAAAATAAAAGGGAGCGAAAGATTAGGGGAGAGGACATCCTGTCATTGAGTGAGTTTTGGGAAGGAATATTTGTGGACCTTTAAAGTTCTAGTGTTCTATCTTTTTTTTTCTTTGTTTTGAGTGATTTGGATTTTTTTAATTAGGGTTTATCCTTATACTTGCGTAATACAACACCTAGTTCCTATCAATTGGTATTAGTTTATTAGAGCTCTCGTGATCCGAGTTCGATCCTCACTGCCCCCCGCTTTCTAGTGGAATTAGGTAAGCACAAGATAGAACCAAAAAATGGGTCTTTGTAATATTTACACTTCAAGCCCATAGGGCTCTTGTATGAGGGGGTGTGTTAGAGAAGAAATATAATAAAAAAACCATTGATTGAGCCTTCACTTACAAGTTTGAGCTTTTGGGTTGAATTGGTTATTTACATGATCCTAGGAGCTATTTGTATTTGGATCAAGAATGGAGAAGCAAATTCTTGAACAACTGTGGAAGATGCTTGAGAGTTTAAGAAAGGAATACTAGGAGAAACAAACAGAGATTCTAGTGTTTGGAGGAGATAATGCATATGGGTGGCTATTTTGCCTCGAGTCACACTTTGACATGAAAGGAATGAATAAAGGTAAGCTGCAGCTGGATGTGAAAGCTCTAGAAGGATGTGCCTACAATTAGTACTAGTGGTGGGAGATTTGCAATCCTAAGGAAACTTAGGATAGTTTTTATCATACTCATGTTAAAAACTCAAGTGTTTTTAACATGAGTATGTTTCAAATCTACAATTATGTGTTTGGGATGAGGAAGCAGAACCAGAACCTTTAAATTTAGAAATAAAGATGTAGAGTAATTTTGTGTTGGGGAAGTTGGAGTTCATAAAAGGAGAGGAGGAAACTAAGGAGTTCGCTAGGGGGAGTGCAGATGATTGGAGAACTTTTAGAGATAAGAGAGAAAACATAAGTGCCTGATGAAGAGGAGATTGAAACCAAGAAGGGAAAGAAAACCCAAAAGGAAATTGTGATGGGAGATGGAAATCTTCCACTGTTTCTTGCAATGAAGGAGTTTAGAAGAAAGAGGAGCTCACAATGAGTGATGCGAAAGGAGAAGAGCTCATGAGTTTAATGAGTGATGTTGAGTTTAATGAGTTTACTGAACACGGATACTTGTACTACGGCTGACGGGACCCCTATAGCTAATACTCAGGAAGAGATGGGAGTTATGATGGGGTGGAATTACAAAATTTGGATCAATTTTTTAACCTAATTAGTGAGACCCAAAATACTGAGTGACATTGGTTTTTTTTCTCTCTCTATCTCTTGTGTAAAGATTGAGCTTGTGAGGCCATGATTATGTCTAAACTAATTATAACTATAACATCTAGTCCTCCAACTAGTCATTTTTTGGAATTATAGGGATCATTAATGGTTCCAAAATCTTCTATTCTTACTTACTTCTATAAACTATGTCTGTATTTGAGTTTCAAATACATGGCTAGTCAAAGAAAACATAATGATGGCTTGATTTCGTTTTATGTCGTCGAAGGTTTAACTCATGCGATTTTGTGGTGGCAGTGGATCCAACAAATTAAATTCTTAAAGGCCAGTGCTTGATAAGTATTAATCCTTCAACACCTTTATGGGTGTTTTTTATGGTCATGGAGGCTGGAAGCAAGCAGTTGAGATTGTGTAGAGGTGCACTTTGGAAATATGGAACTTGATTAAGGCTTATGGGTAGGATTTGCGTAAGGTGATTGCTGTCAACCTTAGACTTTACATGCATGTAAATTTGGAGAGCTTACTTAGAATGGATTCATTGGTCTCAAGATTTAATATCACTCTTTGAGGATGAGTTTGCTTACATAATGTCCTTGGACTTGGACTACATACTGTTTCAATCATCCTCCAAAGCTCCAATGTTTTTGTCTAGTGGACGATATCTAGTTTTAAATTTAATTATTCCATCCAGCATCATTCCTGAAATTAATGTGGCTACAAACTTACAATATCTGCAAGGATTAGCTAATGCAGAGATACTCATTTGCCTTCTGAGTAGTTTTGGGCTTGCTATGAGGTTGATAGGCCGTATTGAACATTGGAAAAAAGGGATTACAATCCACAGAATTTAGAGAATACCTTCTCTATCCTTAAAATATTCAGATGGTCATGATCAAACTTTTGTTATGTACTTTTCATTAGAATTGGAGCAAAGCAAGTCCTTAAAAGGGTCAACTAAATTTTTGTCTTCAGTGAAGATATTTTGTTTGTTGCCGAAACATTATGTTATTTGACAACTTGTGGAATTGCGTGATAATAACTCCAAAATGTTGCTTATAATCGGACTACATATGTTAGAAGCCTCTCATTATGAGCCAAAAGTTTTAGGGTTTGAGCAACTTCTAGGTCACGAGGTCTGGGACACTTGTGACTCCTTTGCATGTTTATTTGGAATGGTTTTTCCGTTGTTCTTATCCTTTTAACATTTGCTGATAATTATAGCAAAATATTCTCCCAGTTATGTTGTGGGAGTCGATGAAGACCAATGGGATTGCAATGGAAATTATTACACTTCATGCATAAGTTGGTCTTTATATTTCAGGCAGTGGGACCCCAGGTGGTTTTTTGGTGGCTGTATTTTTCCAAACTTTCACTTTGACGACAACGTGAATCTTTTTTGGGGGAGTATTGTTAGACACTCCAATGCTTGACCATGTGGGAATTATGAGTAACTGGCAAAAGAAGGATTTGTGGTTATAACGACCTTGCCTACATGGCAAGTTGGGAAGGAAGTGGAAACAAATGGTAGCAAAGATAAAAGGGAGGGAAAGGTAGGGGAGAAGACATCCTATCATTAAGTGAGCTTTGGGGCCTTTGGTCAAGTAGGTTTGCATGCCCTCAAAGTTTTGCAATGTTCTATCTTTAATTTTCTTGTTTTGTGAGTGATTTTGATATTTTTAATCAGGGTTTGTCGCTTTTCCTTTGTAATAAAACATACATGTCCTACCACGATCCCTTCTAATAAACTCTTTGGCATTTTCTCTAATTCCTTTCTTGCATCTCCATTTAGCCCCCTACTATCTTTACTTAATACAACATGAAGCTCATAGTAAATTGTTGGCATTGTTATGTTACTTAATAAGGTTGTTTATGTTATCTAGGTACGTATGGCTTCTGCATCGACGCTAGTGGCAATGTTGGATGGTCCTTCTTCCATTTTCTTACAAGTAGCAGAATATAAGGAATCTAGCAAATTTGGATCTTTTACTGCACTCTCAAGCTCCCTTGGGCAGATTTTGTTGGAACTTCATAGAGGTATCTAAAACATTTGTAGTATCTTATTGCATTAGGTCGTTGTTTAGAAACATCTCTTATTGTGCTTCTATTTTTTTTTAATTATTGACTCTTCATTATTTATATTTTGCTCAAATTTTACACTTTTGTCCATTTTCTCTGATGTAGGTATTCTTTACTTAATACAACATGAAGCTCACGGTAAATTGCTGGCATTGTTGTTCAAGATTTTCAGGCTTGTGATATTATCTACGCCGTATGTTTCTTTGCTTCCAGTGCTATCTTTTCTGTCGTTTTGGTTGTGTTTAATAACAAGGAAACAAGAGGCAAATAGTTAAATCTGTGTGTTCCAATAGCACAACAGAGATTCTATTTTATAGACTGAACATAACAATTTCATAAGACTAATTTAATGATGTGGGACTTCTTAACAACCTATTTAAAATGTTTCTAATAAGTTTTAATTGCATTGGAAAGTTTTTCTTTTTTCTTTCTTTTGTGCTCTTATAAATTAATAGGAGAGTCTTACTATCTAGGTTATTGCTTTTCATGGTACTCCTATGCTATTATGTTTGGAGCCAATAATATTCGGTTTCATTTGAAATTCCTTATGAGGTTGAATATGATAGTATAACTGACATCGAAGGTATTAGTGGGACTGAGAACTCAAGTCATCAATAGTTTTGCCAACTTAGCAACTGGTATGATGCTTTGATAGGAAGGTATGATGGAGGAGGATATTAAAGATTTTGAGGCCTTAGTAGCCCAAGCTGTTAATGTCAGCGAGGAACAATTACTGGATTACTTCTTGGCCTACAATCAAAAATAAAATATAGCGTACAATGATGTGACCGAAAGGATGTCTTTTGAGTCGTGGATCTTGCATGTGACGTATAGGAAGAGTTGAGAACACCATGTGGTTATGATGGGTTACAATATTGGGACCCTAGCGGTGGAAGTTGTTTTCTTGGAGGAGGAAACATTGTCCAAAGAACGGGTAATGCCCTTGCACCTAGCTCATTTTTTGTGGCGGTCACAATAGAGCACTCGAAAGCGAGTGCAAGCAATGATAGAGGAATAGGGGGGATAAATCCTTGTAAATAGGCTTGGTCAACAAGCCCACACGCGGAGGAGGAGGCTGACATTAACTTTGCTCATATTCTAGTAACTAAGCATATTGAGGTAGGTTGAGTTTTCGTAAAGGAGAAACTTGACAGTGGCCTAATCACCACAACATATGTTCCTTTGTAGCTATAACTAGGAGATATGTTAACTAAAGCATTTCCTACATAAAGGTTTTAGGATTTCACTAACAAGACGAAAATGATAGTATTTATTTGACCGCATGAGGGAGAATATTATAGTAGTATGTATATGTAAGAAACCGATATGAACTTAAAAAAAATTGTAGAAGAAAATGTTAATATATATGATATCTAAGCTATATCAAAGGCATGTAAACCAAAAAATACAATGGGAATAACCTAAATCGGACATAAGTGTTCTAGAGGTCTGAATTCTCCTTCTCTCTCTGTTCCTATTTAATTCTTTCTTACCTAAACTCTCTTCATCCCTTCCTATGTTTTCCGGTTCCAATTATGTTACAACTAGTATTCCTGCCTAAAGTCCAGTTAAACACATTCGTTGCCTTGCCCATGACTCTTATCCCCAGCTTTCCTCCTAGTGTACTCCTTAGGCCTAACAATACTCCTCCCAAAGCTTCCATTTTTTCTTCAAGGTAAGGATTTGGTCGTGAACTCCCTCCTCTGGGGTCTCATTGCTTGAAACGTTGTGACCCGTATATGCCAGAAGCATAGTAACTTCCACTAGAATCTTGCTATTCTTTTGCAACTCCATCATATGGCTATGTGAAGAATCTTGTATGAATTGGAAACCTAGCCTTCCATAGAGTCATGATAGTCCTGTGTGCTACATCATCACGAGCAGCCTTGACTAGGTGCCTAATTTCATCTAATAGTTCATTGACTAAAACACCCAAAAATGGTAGGGGGTCCAACTTCTTCAGATTTGAACTACTGGTATCAAACTATCAGAGCTTTTGTGATCAAGTGATCACGAGTTTGGTTCTCACGGCCTTCATTCTATTAGTAAATAATTAATTATTATGGAGTTTCGTAGCATAAATAGGTAGGCCCTTACGTTGTCCATCTTTCAAGCCCAATGAGATATTGTATGTGGGGACGTGTGAGAGAAATATAATATAAAATGTTAAACCATAAATGTACCTTAATAGTTTATGCTTTTAGATTGAAATGGTTCTTTACCATTACAATTGATTTTATTTCCCAACTCTCTCTTTACTTAATTCTTTCCTACAACTCTTAACTCCCTTCATCCCTTTTCTTGTTTTTGGATCCCCGTTCTCTTAAAACTAGTTTTCCCACCTAAAGTCTAGTCACGCCCATTCCTTGCTCTTCCTATGACTCAAATCTCCTGCACTTTTCCTGGTATACAATTTGATGATAGGTGGTGTCCTAACATAGTCCCACATCTTTTACTATTCTATACTTCATAATATTCACTGTATATCATTGTAATTATCGTAAATATTTTGTTTCCATAGTTTAGTCATTATTTTAGGCACATAATTATTTAGTCAGGTCTATATAATAATATAGACCGAACTTATGTATAATATCAACATCAACACTACCTTTATCCCAAATTATTTGGGGTTGGTGATAGATGAACCCAAATGAAAGGTATGAAGGGATAAAAATAATAATAAATAAAATAATATATATATATAAGTAAAAATAAAAGCGGTGTAAAAATAAAATGAATAAATAAAATAAGAAAAGAAGAGGAAGAAGAAGATGGGGAAGATGGGAAAGGGGAAAAGAGATAAAGGAAAAGAAGGGGGTAAGGAAGAAGAGGGGGGAGATAAAGAGGAAAAGGACTAAAAAGAGACCATCTGGAACATAGGATTATCAACGGGTCTAACCCTCCACCATGTATAATATCATTCAGAAAAATAATATTTAGTATTTCCAAATTTATTTATTCATGTATTTCCTTTTGTATTTTGAATGTGCTCTTGTTAAGAGGCTTTCCTGGCTGTTGACACAGGTTTTTCAATATTCAGTATTTTTTTTTTTTTTTGATAACAGTATTCAGTATTTTAGGATGTGCATTAAATTACTGTTTTGACAGATATTCAAGAATGCCACCAAATTTGTTGCCTACTGTTGTTACATCTCTTAGGACAAGGATTGAAGAAGGGTTTTGGTTCAGAAGTGACCAGAATAGTCTGCTGGTTAGTTGTATGATCGTCCTAAGTTCTGTTGTCCCTCTGTGGCAGTAATATGTGTGTATGACATTGACCTGTGTTATCAGGCTGCTGCTCTTGGTTGCTTGACATTAGCTTTGTGTACCTCACCATCCTCTGCTCAAGTAAGGAAGATGCTCCATGAGGAGGTTTCTTCAGGTAACTTTTATAGCACTCTTGATATCGAAAATGATTGACTAAATTATCACTTAAAATTAAAGAAATAGTCTAAAATCTGAGCTCAACTGTTTCATAATTCATGCCTCTAAATGTTAATTATTTTTTATGAAGATTCATTCATTCTTATTTTATTTTTTGCGTAAGTCTTATATTTGATTTTATGTATATTTTTTATTTTCATTTGAGTGTTTTATTTATTTTGATGGAGAGAGATACATAATTCCATACCTGACTTATAGTGCATATGATCTGATATTTGTTTCTGCATTGTTTACTTGGATTGGTGCCTTATTGATAAAGAAGGAAGGTGATTAGAAAGTCAGTTTGAAGTAAAAGAGAAGGAAGGGGAAAGAGGGAAAGGGGGGGTTGTTTAAGGGATTGTGAGGGAATCTCATAAGAAGGTAGTAAAGGGTTTTTATAACTTTTATTTGGAGGTTGTTCCAACATTACGGTTATTAGTCTTACTAAGCTTGGGCTTGTACCAATGGTGCTAGTATTTGACCAAATTATAACTATTAGCTAAATATAACTTTACCTCTAACTGTACCTATATTGGTAGCTGTCAGTTAAACTGAAAGCTGAGACATGTGCTCAGTATAGAGAACCTAATACAAACCAGCCACTCCACTCCAGTGATCTAGATTGGTTATGCATATATAGCAGCAGATGTTAGTGTATTAGTCAACTATTGTTATGACTCTAGTTAATACTTAATAGCTGTTAATGTATTAGTCAACTATTGTATTAGTGTATTAGTTTGTTGTACTTAATGTATCCGTCCTGCCCAAGGATTCTAAACTTATCCCTTATATCCTCCATGTGTTCCATGAGTATCATAGTAGAAATTCGATGGACTCTCTAAGCAATAGACATGTTTTCTCTCAATTCTATGTTTCATCCTAAATTGATGCAAAAATTGTCTGTTAGGGGAAAGTTGAAGATTTGGAATATTAAGGTCAGGAGGATTAAGGGTCCACACATGAATATTTTGTAGAGTCCTACTCTTTAGAATGATTTTGACACAATTCTTCTAGCTGATTATTGTAAAGAACCAATTCAACTCAAAAGCTTAAGCTGGTGGGTGAAGGCTTTTTAATAGTTTTATATATCTCAACACGCCCCCTCACAAGAGAGCCCATTGGGCTTGAAGTGTGGACAATGCACAGTCCTACCTACCTCTGTGAAGAAAGAAATTCCACTAGAAAGAAAGTGAGGGGCAATGAGGATCGAACTCGGTACACCGAGGCTCTGATACCATGTAAAGAACCAATTCAACCCAAAAGCTTAAGCTGATGGGTGAGGTTATATTAATGGTTTTATATATCTCAACACGCCCCCTCATAAGAGAGCCCACTGGGCTTGAAGAGTGGACAATGCACAGGCCCACCTATCTGTGCAAAGAAAGAAATTCCACTAGAAAGAAAGTGGGGGGCGGCGAAAATCGAACTCGGGACATGAGGCTCTGATACCATGTAAAGAATCAATTCAACCTTAAAGCTTAAGCTAGTGGGTGAAGGCTTTTTAATGGTTTTATATATCTCAACAATTATAGTTGGAAGAAAAAATCTAGAATAAGTTGGGTGAGGTTGCAAAGTGATGCTAACTCTAGTATCTTGTATTGGGTGGCTACTGGAAAGAATTAGGAAAAATGTGATGGAGTTAGATGTTGACAAAAAACACAGTGAATGATTCAAACTCGAGCTGATGAAATCACAACTCTTCCTTCTGAATGGAGTTGCAGTGAAATTCTGAAACCTAGTCACGTATAGGCCCTTACATAAGTATTTTGATCATTACCATGGATATACTTGTCTAGGTTCATTTTCAGGATATAGACCAATTCATTTTCTGGTTTCAATCATTGTATATACTTGTCTAGGTTTATTGTATATTGCTCCCTTTTTGGTTAAAAAATCAACCCTCCATTGTGTAGTTGACACACTAGGAATTAGTTAAATGTAAAAGAATACGTTGTGTATTGATCTGTGTCAGGGAGTTACAATATATAGAGATCCTAATGGGCTTAAGTGTAAGGCCCAAACCTAATCCTAATACAGTCAGAATACAGTCAGACTATTTACGGATAAGACAGAATCCAATCATATCTAATCAAATCTAATCATATCATATCTAATATTCTAACACTCCCCCTCAAGCTGGTGCGTATATATTATGAGCACCAAGCTTGTTACAAATGTATTCAACCCGAGGACCTCTAAGAGCTTTAGTGAAAACATCTGCTAGCTGATTAGATGAGTTGACAAAAGCTGTCTTGATTTCTCCTGACTGAATCTTTTCCCGAATGAAGTGACAATCAATCTCTATATGTTTGGTCCTCTCATGAAAAACAGGATTAGAGGATATATGTAGCGCAGCTTGATTATCACAGATGAGTGTCATGGGTTGTTTCTGTTCACAAAGATGAAGCTCCTGAATCAACTGCTTTAACCAGATCAACTCACAGGTAGTATTTGCCATTGCACGATACTCAGCTTCTGCACTAGATCGGGAAACAACAGGTTGTTTCTTGCTTTTCCATGAGATTAAGTTTCCTCCGAAGAAGACACAATAACCAGAAGTAGAGCGTCTGTCCGAGGGTGATCCTGCCCAATCGGCATCTGAGTAACCACAAATTTCTGTATTTCCCTGATCCGAATACAACAAACCTTTTCCTGGTGCTCCTTTGATGTATCGGAGGATCCTCACAGCAGCATCCCAATGTGAATCACAAGGGGAATCAAGGAACTGACTGGCCGTACTGACAGCGAAAGAAATATCTGGCCTAGTCACAGTAAGATAATTGAGCTTCCCAATCAGCCTTCGATAACGTCCAGGATCAGATAACGGCTCCCCCTGTCTGGGCAATAACTTAACATTAGGATCCATTGGTGTATCAACTGGCTTACACGCCAACATACCAGTCTCTTCTAGGATATCCAAGGCATACTTCCTTTGACAGATAGAAATGCCCTGTCTAGATTGTGCTACCTCAATTCCCAAGAAGTAACGCAGCTTCCCAAGGTCCTTTGTTTGAAATGCACTGAATAAATGTTGTTTTAACTGATGGATTCCGTCTTGATCACTCCCGGTGAGAATGATGTCATCAACATAGACTAACAAATAGATGCACTTATCAGGAGATGTGATCCTATAGAACACAGAGTGGTCAACTTTACTGCGAATTAGGCCAAACTCCTGAACAGCAGAACTGAAGCGACTGAACCATGCTCGAGGAGACTGCTTGAGACCATATAAGGATTTTCGAAGACGACACACCTTCCCAGGCTCCCCCTGAGCAACAAAACTAGGTGGTTGCTCCATGTAAACTTCTTCTTGTAAATCACCATGAAGAAAGGCATTTTTTATGTCAAGTTGAAGGAGTGGCCAGTGACGAACAGCAGCAAGGGCAAGAAATAGGCGGACGGACGCCATCTTAGCGACCGGAGAGAATGTATCGCTATAATCAAGGCCGAATATTTGAGTAAAACCCTTTGCAACTAGGCGGGCCTTGAGTCGATCAACATGGCCATCAGGTCCAACTTTCACAGTAAACACCCAGCGACAACCAACTGTAGACTTCTGTGGAGGAGCAGAAACAAGGTCCCAAGTGCCATTGGAATGAAGTGCAGTCATCTCATCAAGCATCGCTTGGCGCCACCCTGGATGGGAAAGTGCTTCACCTGTGGTCTTAGGAATAGAAATAGAAGAAAGACTAGAAACAAAGGTGAAATGAGGTGAAGAAAGACGGTCATAGCTCAAAAAAGTATAAAGAGGATAAGGATTACGAGTAGTACGAGTACCTTTTCTTTGAGCAATGGGAAGAGCCTCTGGTGAAGGATCCGGAGAGGAAGAAGCAACAGCAGTGGGCGATGAGTCAGCAAGAGTCGAGTCGACAGGAGGCATAGTTTTGCGACGTTGATAGGTGAGAAGTGGACGGTCCTCAGGTATAGAAGCAATAGGTTGCTCATTTGGAATAGAAGCACCTGCAGCTGGCAAAAACAAGTCAAGAAAAGGGACAGGAAGAACATGATCAACCTGTGACAACTGAGATGGAATAGAATTAAAGGGTTGTTGATCAAGAAAAGTGACATCAGCGGAAACTAAGTAACGCTTAAGATCGGGAGAATAACAACGATAACCCTTTTGAAGACGAGAATAACCAAGAAAGATACACTGAAAGGCTTTGGATGTTAACTTATCCTTACCAGGAGTGAGATTAGTAAAGCCCCCGTGACTCACGACCCACTCCAATCATTTCCCCCGTACCCGGATCCTGCACAGAAACAGAATGGTTAGAGAAAGTAATGGTGCAAGTGAGGGAATGGATCAACTTACTAATAGAAATTAAGTTATAAGGGATGCCAGGAATGTAATAAACAGATGTCAAGGCCAAGGTAGAGGTCGGACGAGCTTGTCCAATCCCACGAACTGGGGCTTTGGTTCCATCCGCAAGGGTAAAAGAAGGTAAATGATGAGAATAAGTAAGAGATGTAAAAAGTTCCTTATTACCACAGAGATGATCGGTAGCACCTGAGTCAAATATCCAAGTGCCAAGTGATGTAGAATGAGAAACACAAGCAACGGGATTACCAGTATATGGTTGAGACTGAGGAGAAGCTTTCTTGAGAAGAGTTTGGAGTGCAGCATAGTCCGCAAGTGAGAGAGAAACTAAACCAAATGATGCATTGTTTGACTGAGCTATATTCGCAGCAAGAGAGGTAGAATCCTCCGAGAGATCAGTGGACGCTGCTGCCATTTAAAAACAGAATATAAAAGCCGTAAACGAAGGCAAACGATATCCAATCAAGGAGAACCACGCGTCTAAAGTGAGACCCACAAAGAACCAAGCACAGATCCAGAAAGAGGAGAAGAAGGCGAGAAGTTCTGTCCAAGAACGGCCGGAAAAATCCACCGGAACAGTGCACACGCGCCGGTTGAAGGTGGCGTGTGAGCACCACGCGCAGAGGAGAAGAACGGCGCGTGGAGGCGCGTTGATGACGCGACGGTGGTCGGACCACCACAGAACTGGTCGCCGGGATGAGACGGTCCTGATTGCAGGTAGTCTGGGCTGAAAACTCGCCGGAACAGTGCTCTGGTGGCCGGAACAGTGACGAGCGGCGGTTGTTGGCGGCCGGAAGTGGTTCCGGTGGCCTGAACAGTGACGAGCGGCGGTTGTTGGCGGCGGGAAGTGGTTCTGACAGTTGAAGAAACAAGCCGGAGAGACACACGGCTTAGAGAGAAACTCGCCGGAAGAATGCACGGTAAAGTAGAAGAGAACACCTAAGCAGTGGGCTTAGGGTTTTAGCGGAAGCGGATCCCCAGAGCGAAAAAGCTCTGATACCAAGTTAAATGTAAAAGAATACGTTGTGTATTGATCTGTGTCAGGGAGTTACAATATATAGAGATCCTAATGGGCTTAAGTGTAAGGCCCAAACCTAATCCAAACCTAATCCTAATACAGTCAGAATACAGTCAGACTATTTACGGATAAGACAGAATCCAATCATATCTAATCAAATCTAATCATATCATATCTAATATTCTAACAGAATTCATCCAATCTCCTGTGGTTTCCTCCTCATTCAGTAATTAGAAATATTGCAAACCAGATAGCATTTATATTCTTATGCCTGTCTTCTCTACTCTATATAGTACATGCTTTGATGACAAGAATCTAAACCTATGCTTTGCCTGTAGAATTCTGATTTGCTTTTTGATATTGATCAGTCAATGATAATGTGCATTAACTGATCAGGATGACTGATTTGTGTGGTTCTCTTGTTTAGCCTAAAAATATTACTGGTTTGGCTTCTAATATTCTGTAGTAAGGTTATTCCTATCCGTTGATTTGGCTTCACGTCTGCCATTGTTGGCTTTCCTTCAGGTTATACTGAGACTGAAAAGAAGTCAGGTGTTCTTTCTATGTTATTTAAATATTCAGTGCAATGGAGTTGCCCAACCATTTGCCTTGAGGCTCTTCAGGTAATCTTGTTTGAAATTTTTAAAATTTTTGGCATGGATTGCTGAGTTATTTATTTGTTAGCAACTATAACTGGGGATGGTGTCTGTGGTGTATGGAATTGTCTGTGCTGTGAGCCTGTCATTTTCTTTTCCATTATTTGACTTTACTTTGGGCAGATATCTGTCTATATGACAAAGTTAAGTGTTATAATTGTAAGATGATATATTGTATTAAAATATTGTATTAAAATATTGTAACCGTTATCATTTTTATATAAGTCGATGGTTTTTTCTGGTAAAGGTTAATGTAAATTGATGGCTTACTGCAAAATTGAAGATTAATGTTAGGGTAAATGTCAACTGTAGTATGCTTGATTCTGAAAGCTAAATTGGTCACTTGCCTTAGTTATTTTGTCATGGTAAGTTAACTCTAATAGCTGCATTCAAACTTCGAAATAACAGTTATTGATTGATAAGTTTTATCTATTAATTTTTCAATAATAAGTTGATGCGTCATGGTAGTTTATTGATTTTTTCAGATTACTCTTCTGCAGGCACTTAAAGCTGTATCCCACAATTACCCTATCATAGTGACTGCATGTTGGGAACAAGTTTCTGGAACTGTGTATGGCTTCCTTAGTATTGTATGCTCTGAAGTTCCTTCACGGCAGTCAAGTGAACATGTTGGTAGTCCTGCATTTATTAGCGAAAAAGTTCTTATTTCTGCTATTAAGGTAACAACTTTACTGTTCCTCTTTTTACATTTATTCTTCTTAAATGCTAAATCTTCCCTAAATCTTTCATTCATTGGTGCGAGAACGAACTTGCTTCCATTGTGCTTGCATAGGCCATTTTTTTTCTTGTACTTTTATTTAGTTTAAAACTTTTTATTCATACACCATTTCATTGTTCATGTGACATGATGTCTCATGTCACTTAGACTGGTGTTTCCATGTTCTTCATATCATGAGCATAAAGAAGCATTAAATTCCTTATTCGGACTTTTTTCTTCTTGTTATAAATAGCCTTTTTACTCAGACGTTTGCGAATATATGTGATGTCATTTCAATGCAATGATTACTTCTGCCTTTTTTGGTTAGTGATGCAATTATTTAAAAATTCTAAGGTTCTAGATGAGTGTCTTCGGGCAGTGTCCGGATTTCAAGGAACGGAAGATCTTTCGGATGATAAATTTGTGGATATTCCATTTGCATCTGATTGCATTAGGATGAAGAGAGTGTCATCTGCACCATCTTACGAGCTAGAGAGCAAAGATGATGATGAAGTAAACTCTGAAGCATGTGAATCTGGAATTCAGCAATGGTGTGAGGCTATCGAGAAGCATATGCCTCTTATCTTATGTCACTCTTCTGCAATGGTAAGAATTTTTTTTCCTCTAATAATATTGTTTTATTATGTTCAATTCTAAGAATCGAGTCATATTTGCTAACTTGCAGTCATTAGTGATCTGGTTTAGATATTGTACATCTATTGATTTTTTGTTTTTGTTTTTGACATCTTCACTAACTTGAAATAATGACTTAAATGTTAACCTTTTTATGTTGATTTATATATATATATATATATATATATATATATATATATATATATATATTTATATTTTAAATATGATCTTATGATCTGTATGAATTTCCCGATTTACGATCTTTCAATCCCCTTCGATCTTAGTTTAGATCTCGAGTTTGACTACCTTGGACACAATTCATAGTGGAAATACTTTAATCTGGCGAGACATGGAATTATTTGTTGAAGTTTGGACAGACCGGGAGATTAGTAACAACATACATTACAGGAGGGGTTGACTTGAGATGGTAAGAATCTTTGTATTGTCGATGACACCACAAACACTAATGGAAATACGAGCTCAATCTTCTTCTCCAATTCAAGATATGCTCTATGAATGTTTCTACCTAGAAATGATGAAATTTTCCTTGGTCAAACTCTTTCCCTCCTACGCACTTGAGGAGTTATCAAACAGATTTCCACCACCATCTGCGGTGTCTTCGTCAACACCAAGATTCTTACCTCAAGATCAATAACAGGTTGCAGTTCCCCTTTCCAAATATGATTGTAGAATGATATTGGGTTCTGTTAGAATTGATTAGATATGATTAGTCTGTAATTATTCTGATTGTATTAGGTCTGGGCCTTTCATATAAGCCCATTAGAGTCTCTATATATTGTAACTCTCTGAATTAGATCAATACACAACATATTATTTTATATTCAAGTTGGTACCAGAGCTCTTTCATTCTGGGGACCCTCTCTTCCGCTTAGAAACCTTGTTATTGCTTTAAAACCTAAGCCCACTGCTTAGGAGTCCTCTTTCTTGTCGTGCGTCCTTCCGGCAAGCCATCTAGGGTTGTAAACAGCCTTTGAGTAATTTTTCCAAACGCGTCAGCACCTCCGACGACCACCGGAACCACCGCCCGCCACCAGAATCACTGTTCAGGCCACCAGAGACTTTTTCCAGCGACTTTTCCGACCAAACTTCACGCGATCAGGACCGTCTCCTCCCGGCGACCAAGTCTGTGGAGGTCCGGTCACCAACGCACCCCTCACTCGCCGTCCCTCTCCTCTGCGCGTGGGCTTCACGCGCCATCTTCTGCAGGCGCGTGAGCACTATGCCGGCGCGTGAGCACTATTCCGTGGACAGAAAAGCTCGGCTTCTCCTCTCCTTTTTGGATCTGTGATTGTTTTGGTGAGGGTCTGACTTTTTGCGCGCACCTATTCTTGATCGGTGACCAGGTTCGTTTCTATTTATTCGGTTTATATCAGTTAAATGTAAAAGAATACGTTGTGTATTGATCTGTGTCAGGGAGTTACAATATATAGAGATCCTAATGGGCTTAAGTGTAAGGCCCAAACCTAATCCAAACCTAATCTTAATACAGTCAGAATACAGTCAGACTATTTACGGATAAGACAGAATCCAATCATATCTAATCAAATCTAATCATATCATATCTAATATTCTAACACTCCCCCTCAAGCTGGTGCGTATATATTATGAGCACCAAGCTTGTTACAAATGTATTCAACCCGAGGACCTCTAAGAGCTTTAGTGAAAACATCTGCTAGCTGATTAGATGAGTTGACAAAAGCTGTCTTGATTTCTCCTGACTGAATCTTTTCCCGAATGAAGTGACAATCAATCTCTATATGTTTGGTTCTCTCATGAAAAACAGGATTAGAGGATATATGTAGCGCAGCTTGATTATCACAGATGAGTGTCATGGGTTGTTTCTGTTCACAAAGATGAAGCTCCTGAATCAACTGCTTTAACCAGATCAACTCACAGGTAGTATTTGCCATTGCACGATACTCAGCTTCTGCACTAGATCGGGAAACAACAGGTTGTTTCTTGCTTTTCCATGAGATTAAGTTTCCTCCGAAGAAGACACAATAACCAGAAGTAGAGCGTCTGTCCGAGGGTGATCCTGCCCAATCGGCATCTGAGTAACCACAAATTTCTGTATTTCCCTGATCCGAATACAACAAACCTTTTCCTGGTGCTCCTTTGATGTATCGGAGGATCCTCACAGCAGCATCCCAATGTGAATCACAAGGGGAATCAAGGAACTGACTGGCCGTACTGACAGCGAAAGAAATATCTGGCCTAGTCACAGTAAGATAATTGAGCTTCCCAATCAGCCTTCGATAACGTCCAGGATCAGATAACGGCTCCCCCTGTCTGGGCAATAACTTAACATTAGGATCCATTGGTGTATCAACTGGCTTACACGCCAACATACCAGTCTCTTCTAGGATATCCAAGGCATACTTCCTTTGACAGATAGAAATGCCCTGTCTAGATTGTGCTACCTCAATTCCCAAGAAGTAACGCAGCTTCCCAAGGTCCTTTGTTTGAAATGCACTGAATAAATGTTGTTTTAACTGATGGATTCCGTCTTGATCACTCCCGGTGAGAATGATGTCATCAACATAGACTAACAAATAGATGCACTTATCAGGAGATGTGATCCTATAGAACACAGAGTGGTCAACTTTACTGCGAATTAGGCCAAACTCCTGAACAGCAGAACTGAAGCGACTGAACCATGCTCGAGGAGACTGCTTGAGACCATATAAGGATTTTCGAAGACGACACACCTTCCCAGGCTCCCCCTGAGCAACAAAACCAGGTGGTTGCTCCATGTAAACTTCTTCTTGTAAATCACCATGAAGAAAGGCATTTTTTATGTCAAGTTGAAGGAGTGGCCAGTGACGAACAGCAGCAAGGGCAAGAAATAGGCGGACGGACGCCATCTTAGCGACCGGAGAGAATGTATCGCTATAATCAAGGCCGAATATTTGAGTAAAACCCTTTGCAACTAGGCGGGCCTTGAGTCGATCAACATGGCCATCAGGTCCAACTTTCACAGTAAACACCCAGCGACAACCAACTGTAGACTTCTGTGGAGGAGCAGAAACAAGGTCCCAAGTGCCATTGGAATGAAGTGCAGTCATCTCATCAAGCATCGCTTGGCGCCACCCTGGATGGGAAAGTGCTTCACCTGTGGTCTTAGGAATAGAAATAGAAGAAAGACTAGAAACAAAGGTGAAATGAGGTGAAGAAAGACGGTCATAGCTCAAAAAAGTATAAAGAGGATAAGGATTACGAGTAGTACGAGTACCTTTTCTTTGAGCAATGGGAAGAGCCTCTGGTGAAGGATCCGGAGAGGAAGAAGCAACAGCAGTGGGCGATGAGTCAGCAAGAGTCGAGTCGACAGGAGGCATAGTTTTGCGACGTTGATAGGTGAGAAGTGGACGGTCCTCAGGTATAGAAGCAATAGGTTGCTCATTTGGAATAGAAGCACCTGCAGCTGGCAAAGACAAGTCAAGAAAAGGGACAGGAAGAACATGATCAACCTGTGACAACTGAGATGGAATAGAATTAAAGGGTTGTTGATCAAGAAAAGTGACATCAGCGGAAACTAAGTAACGCTTAAGATCGGGAGAATAACAACGATAACCCTTTTGAAGACGAGAATAACCAAGAAAGATACACTGAAAGGCTTTGGATGTTAACTTATCCTTACCAGGAGTGAGATTATGAACAAAACAAGTACAACCAAAGACATGTGGAGTTAGAGGATAAAGAGGAACATCTGGAAGCAATAGGTTATGAGGAATGTCATTGTTGAGCACAGATGAGGGCATGCGATTGATGAGAAAACAAGAGATGAGTACAGCATCTGCCCAGAAGTGAAGGGGAACCTGCATATGAAGAAGAAGGGTACGTGCAGTTTCAATGAGATGTCTGTTTTTACGTTCAGCCACCCCATTTTGTTGTGGAGTGTGAGGACAAGTAGTTTGATGTAAAGTACCTTGTGTGGCCAAGAAATTAGAAAAATCAATAGAAACATATTCCTTAGCATTATCACTACGTAGAATACGAATAGAAACACCAAATTGAGTATGAATCTCAGTATAAAACTTTTTATAAATGGAAAATAACTCAGAACGATTTTTCATTAAATAGACCCAAGTGCAACGGGAAAAATCATCAACAAAGGTAACGAAATACCGAAAACCTAAAACAGACAAGGTACGACTTGGACCCCAGATATCTGAATGAACAAGAGAAAAAGGGGCATCAGCTCGTTTATTGACTCGATTGGCAAAAGAGGAACGTGTATGCTTCCCTTGTTGACATGACACACAATCTAAAGACTGAAGACCGGATAAAAGAGGAACCATTTTCTGCAACTTCGAAAGACTTGGATGACCGAGGCGACTGTGGATAAGTTGTGGAGATTCTGTGAGAGAGAGTGCCACTGAAGGACGAGGCACATCCAGATAGTAAAGCCCCCGTGACTCACGACCCACTCCAATCATTTCCCCCGTACCCGGATCCTGCACAGAAACAGAATGGTTAGAGAAAGTAATGGTGCAAGTGAGGGAATGGATCAACTTACTAATAGAAATTAAGTTATAAGGGATGCCAGGAATGTAATAAACAGATGTCAAGGCCAAGGTAGAGGTCGGACGAGCTTGTCCAATCCCACGAACTGGGGCTTTGGTTCCATCCGCAAGGGTAAAAGAAGGTAAATGATCAGAATAAGTAAGAGATGTAAAAAGTTCCTTATTACCACAGAGATGATCAGTAGCACCTGAGTCAAATATCCAAGTGCCAAGTGATGTAGAATGAGAAACACAAGCAACGGGATTACCAGTATATGGTTGAGACTGAGGAGAAGCTTTCTTGAGAAGAGTTTGGAGTGCAGCATAGTCCGCAAGTGAGAGAGAAACTGAACCAAATGATGCATTGTCTGACTGAGCTATATTCGCAGCAAGAGAGGTAGAATCCTCCGAGAGATCAGTGGACGCTGCTGCCATTTAAAAACAGAATAT